ATTGTTGCATTTGCTTTACTACCTCCTTTGTAGAGTGGTGTTATTACCGTTGTCGGGGCTAACGCCGGTGCTGGCTCTAGGCTCCGGCTCGAAGTTATAATTAGGGCCTGTGGTAATTTTGTTGTTGTGGTTTTTGAAGAATATAAAAATGCCAGAAATCTCGACCATATGTGGAGAGCCAAAACTCGTCTCTCATGTCAGTGACACCTGTGTCAGCACCTGTGTCGACACCTGGGTCGACACGTGGGTCGACACCTGGGTCAGCATCTGTGTCAACATCTGTACCATCTACATCAGATGTACCACTTTGTCCAAGGACGGACCACTTTGTCGGTCCGTCCTGGACCCTTGGGTGACGACGTGTCGGTCCGTCCTGGACCCTTGGGTGACGACGTTTCGGTCCGTCCTGGACCCTTGGGTGACGACGTGTCGGTCCGTCCTGGACCCTTGGGTGACGACGTTTCGGTCCGTCCTGGACCCTTGGGTGACGACGTGTCGGTCCGTCCTGGACCCTTGGGTGACGACGTTTCGGTCCGTCCTGGACCCTTGGGTGACGACGTGTCGGTCCGTCCTGGAGCCTAATCAAGCAGTGACGAGAGAGAGTGTGAGAGAACAGGAGGCAAGAGGCAGGGTATAAAAGGAAGAAGCACAGCCTGATAAAGCAAGTTCACACAAGAACACACAAGAACACACTAAACAGTATGATAAAGATATGTCCCTCTGCACACGAACCACTGAAATAAGTGAGAATAGAGAGTGGAGAGAGAGAGAGAGAGAGAGAGAGAGAGAGAGAGAGAGAGAGAGAGAGAGAGAGAGAGAGAGAGAGAGAGAGAGAGAGAGAGAGAGACAGAGAGACAGACACACACACACACACACACACACACACACACACACACACACACACACACACACACACACACACACACACACACACACACACACACACACACACGAAGGCACAAGGTGGAAGTCTAGCCTACGTCTATCCAGCCTCTTAGTTCCACAAAAGCCATAACAATGTGATAATAAGCAACAATGGGTTGAACCTCAGCGATACATCTTGGGCCAGATCACAGCCTGCTCTGAGTTCAGGCGAGCGTGAACAATAGGAACCGCGCCGTCATTCTCACTGAACTTAATAACGTCTCTCCCCAACCTTGCCGCTCCTACCCCCGCCAATTATAACCAACCACACCTACGCCTTACATTCAAGTAGTTACGAAGATCAATGTCTCCACACCCCCACCTCTCCCCTGCAGTCCGGATTCTTGAGGGGGTCTGGTTATCCAGGCTGTTGTTGCTAGCAGTCTGTGACACCATTGTTTCACAAGAAAGAGTTTATTTCACCTCCTGATGCCTCTGTTACCTAGGAGTAAATAGGTACCTGGGAGTTAGTGAGCTGTCACGGGCTGCTTCCTGGGGGTGGAGGCCTGGTCGAGGACCGGGCCGCTGGGACGCTAAGCCCCGAAATCATCTGAAGATATATAAGAGTTGACAATACTGAGGAATATTAGTAATAAACTGAGATATATTACCACCCACTACACCAGGTGGCAGACCACCACCACCCACTACACCAGGTGGCAGACCACCACCACCCACTACACCAGGTGGCAGATCACCACCACAACCACCACCACCCACTACACCAGGTGGCAGACCACCACCACCCACTACACCAGGTGGCAGACCACCACCACCCACTACACAAGGTGGCAGATCACCACCACCACCACCACCACCCACTACACCAGGTGGCAGACCACCACCACCCACTACACCAGGTGGCAGACCACCACCACCCACTACACCAGGTGGCAGACCACCACCACCCACTACACCTGGTGGCAGACCACCACCACCACCCACTACACCAGGTGGCAGATCACCACCACCACCACCACCCACTACACCAGGTGGCAGACCACCACCACCACCACCACCCACTACACCAGGTGGCAGACCACCACCACCACCACCACCCACTACACCAGGTGGCAGATCACCACCACCACCACCACCCACTACACCAGGTGGCAGACCACCACCACCACCCACTACACCAGGTGGCAGATCACCACCACCACCACCACCACACACTACACCAGGTGGCAGACTACCACCACCCACTACACCAGGTGGCAGATCACCACAACCACCCACCCACTACACCAGGTGGCAGATCACCACCACCACCACCACCCACTACACCAGGTGGCAGATCACCACCACCACCCACTACACCAGGTGGCAGATCACCACCACCACCCACCCACTACACCAGGTGGCAGATCATCACCACCACCACCCACTACACCAGGTGGCAGATCACCACCACCACCACCCACTACACCAGGTGGCAGATCACCACCACCACCACCCACTACACCACTGGCAGCCCACCACCACCACCACCCACTACACCAGGTGGCAGATCACCACCACCACCCACCCACTACACCAGGTGGCAGATCACCACCACCACCCACCCACTACACCAGGTGGCAGATCACCACCACCACCACCCACTACACCAGGTGGCAGACCACCACCACCACCACCCACTACACCAGGTGGCAGATCACCACCACCACCCACCCACTACACCAGGTGGCAGATCACCACCACCACCACCCACTACACCAGGTGGCAGATCACCACCACCACCCACCCACTACACCAGGTGGCAGATCACCACCACCACCCACCCACTACACCAGGTGGCAGATCACCACCACCACCCACCCACTACACCAGGTGGCAGATCACCACCACCACCACCCACTACACCAGGTGGCAGATCACCACCACCACCACCCACTACACCAGGTGGCAGATCACCACCACCACCACCACCCACTACACCAGGTGGCAGATCACCACCACCACCACCACCCACTACCCCAGGTGGCAGACCACCACCACCACCACCCACTACACCAGGTGGCAGACCACCACCACCACCACCACCCAAAACACCAGGTGGCACATCACCACCACCACTACCACCACTCACTACACCAGGTGGCAGACCACCCCCACCACCACCACCCACTACACCAGGTGGCAGACCACCACCACCCACTACACCAGGTGGCAGACCACCACCACCACCCACTACACCAGGTGGCAGATCACCACCACCACCACCACCACCCACTACACCAGGTGGCAGACTACCACCACCCACTACACCAGGTGGCAGATCACCACCACCACCCACCCACTACACCAGGTGGCAGATCACCACCACCACCACCCACTACACCAGGTGGCAGACCACCACCACCACCCACTACACCAGGTGGCAGACCACCACCACCACCACCACCCACTACACCAGGTGGCAGACCACCACCACCACCACCACCCACTACACCAGGTGGCAGACTACCACCACCCACTACACCAGGTGGCAGATCACCACCACCACCCACTACACCAGGTGGCAGATCACCACCACCCACTACACCAGGTGGCAGACCACCACCACCCACTACACCAGGTGGCAGATCACCACCACCCACTACACCAGGTGGCAGACCACCACCACCCACTACACCAGGTGGCAGATCACCACCACCACCACCACCACCCACTACACCAGGTGGCAGATCACCACCACCACCCACTACACCAGGTGGCAGATCACCACCACCACCCACTACACCAGGTGGCAGACCACCACCACCACCCACTACACCAGGTGGCAGACCACCACCACCACCACCCACTACACCAGGTGGCAGATCACCACCACCACCACCCACTACACCAGGTGGCAGACCACCACCACCACCACCCACTACACCAGGTGGCAGATCACCACCACCACCACCCACTACACCAGGTGGCAGACCACCACCACCCACTATACCAGGTGGCAGACCACCACCACCACCACCCACTACACCAGGTGGCAGATCACCACCACCACCCACTACACCAGGTGGCAGATCTCCACCACCACCCACTACACCAGGTGGCAGATCACCACCACCACCACCCACTACACCAGGTGGCAGACCACCACCACCCACTACACCAGGTGGCAGACCACCACCACCACCACCACCCACTACACCAGGTGGCAGATCACCACCACCACCCACTACACCAGGTGGCAGACCACCACCACCACCCACTACACCAGGTGGCAGATCTCCACCACCACCACCACCACCACCCACTACACCAGGTGGCAGATCTCCACCACCACCACCACCACCACCCACTACACCAGGTGGCAGACCACCACCACCCACTACACCAGGTGGCAGACCACCACCACCACCACCACCACTACACCAGGTGGCAGATCACCACACCACCACCACCACCCACTACACCAGGTGGCAGATCACCAACACCAGGTGGCAGACCACCCACTACACCACCACCAACCACTACACCAGGTGGCACACCACCAACCACCCACTACACCAGGTGGCAGATACACCACCACCACCACCCACTACACCAGGTGGCAGACCACCACACCACTACCACCACCACCCACTACACCAACCACCACCCACTACACCAACCACCACCCACTACAACGGTGGCAGATCAACACCACCACCACCACCACTACACCCAGGTGGCAGATCACCACCACCACCCACTATACCAGGTGGCAGACCACCACCACCACCACCACTACACCAAGGTGGCAGATCACCACCACCACCCACTACATCAGGTGGCAGATCACACCAACCACCACCCACTACACCAGGTGGCAGATCACCACCCAACCACCACCCACTACACCAGGGTGGCAGACCACTACACCACCACCACCCACTACACAGGTTGGCAGACTACACCACCACCCACTATTCCTATCATGTGCAGGTCTTCACTTGAGGAAAGATACTGGTGTGAATTAAGGCCCAAAAGCTTCCGCGAGAATGGCCTAGAAATGTTGAGGCCGCGGGAGATGTTACCACGGGGAAAATCTCTACTTTAACCTTGCGTTGGTCTTGTGGTGGTCAATGGGACCTAATGGTCCTAATGGTGTCCTCATAACGGGACCTAATGGTCCTAATGGTGTTCTCATAACGGGACCTAATGGTCCTAATGGTGTCCTCATAACGGGACCTAATGGTCCTAATGGTGTTCTCATAACGGGACCTAATGGTCCTAATGGTGTCCTCATAACGGGACCTAATGGTCCTAATGGTGTTCTCATAACGGGACCTAATGGTCCTAATGGTGTCCTCTCAGTGGGTCCTAATGGTGTCCTCATAACGGGACCTAATGGTCCTAATGGTGTCCTCATAACGGGACCTAATGGTCCTAATGGTGTCCTCATAACGGGACCTAATGGTCCTAATGGTGTCCTCTCAGTGGGTCCTAATGGTGTCCTCATAACGGGACCTAATGGTCCTAATGGTGTTCTCATAACGGGACCTAATGGTCCTAATGGTGTCCTCATAACGGGACCTAATGGTCCTAATGGTGTCCTCATAACGGGACCTAATGGTCCTAATGGTGTCCTCTCAGTGGGTCCTAATGGTGTCCTCATAACGGGACCTAGTGGTCCTAATGGTGTCCTCATAACGGGACCTAATGGTCCTAATGGTGTCCTCATAACGGGACCTAATGGTCCTAATGGTGTTCTCATAACGGGACCTAATGGTCCTAATGGTGTCCTCATAACGGGACCTAATGGTCCTAATGGTGTCCTCATAACGGGACCTAATGGTCCTAATGGTGTCCTCATAACGGGACCTAATGGTCCTAATGGTGTCCTCATAACGGGACCTAATGGTCCTAATGGTGTCCTCATAACGGGACCTAATGGTCCTAATGGTGTCCTCATAACGGGACCTAATGGTCCTAATGGTGTTCTCATAACGGGACCTAATGGTCCTAATGGTGTCCTCATAACGGGACCTAATGGTCCTAATGGTGTCCTCATAACGGGACCTAATGGTCCTAATGGTGTCCTCATAACGGGACCTAATGGTCCTAATGGTGTCCTCATAACGGGACCTAATGGTCCTAATGGTGTCCTCATAACGGGACCTAATGGTGTCCTCATAACGGGACCTAATGGTCCTAATGGTGTCCTCACAACGGGACCTAATGGTCCTAATGGTGTCCTCATAACGGGAACTAATGGTCCTAATGGTGTCCTCACAACGGGACCTAATGGTCCTAATGGTGTCCTCACAACGGGACCTAATGGTCCTAATGGTGTCCTCACAGTGGGTTCACAATATATTTTCTGGAAGCTGGAAGAGTGTGTTGAAAACCAGTGTAGTAGTGTAGATGTTAAGTCCTGACACTGCTGGCACCCAAGTACTGGTGCCAAGAAACTGGTACTGGTAGAAAGCAATATGTATTACATGCACAGGAAACCAGTTCTACCTGAAATCTAGTGTGTGTGTGTGTGTGTGTGTGTGTGTGTGTGTGTGTGTGTGTGTGTGTGTGTGCCAAATGCATGTAATGGGACCATATCCTTTGACCTGTGTGACCTGTGACTCTGAGAGGTGACCTCATTCACTCTGGCTGAAGAATCCTTCACACAAGAGTGCCATTCACTCCACAGGGGGGGGGGTCACTTAGCTATTACAAAAGACAAATGAGGCACTGTTGGCCCTGCTGGACTCTGGCACCGAAGGCCATACAGTTTCACTGTACCACTGAACTGAAAAGTGGGATGCCTTACCTATCTAATATCTGTTTGTGCCCGTTTTGACGCCATTAGCTATTGCTGATGCTTAAATTTAAATTTTAAATTTTGCCCCGAGGGGCGAGTTTATTGGGCAGATGCTGTTAGTCTCAGTCTTGCACTAACCATCAAACGACCTTGTGGGGGGGGTTGAGTATCAATTAGCAGCGTGGTAGTGTGGAGTGGTGTTGAGCGAGGCGGACCAAGCTGGAGCCGGCGCGGCAAATCGGACACACAACTTGTTTAATGTCCACGAGACAAGAATGAATCAACAATTTTTTCCTCTCCCATCTCGGGGATTCCTTTGTGTATGTTCGAGGCGGTGGCGGTGACCCTGGCTTGGGCGAGAGTAACGAGACAGATTGCGAGTGATGGGAGGGGGGGTGGGGGGATAGAGGGGGTTGGGGATGATGTGCAGGGGGTTGGGAGTGTGTGTCGCGATGGTGGAGGGGGAATTGTTGGGGGTGGTTGGGGAGATGGGGGAAGCCGAGGCCAGAGGTGGCCGGTGGCTTCGCCATCCGGGCCCGCACACCCATATTTTAGGCGCCGGGAAAAAGGCGCGCACGGCCCTACAGTTGAGTCACCCTCGCTCTCATCCCTGCTGGCTCCCCCAGCCTGGCCTAGCTGGCTGGCTGTCCCCCAGCCTGGCCTAGCTGGCTGGCTGGCTGGCCCCCAGCCTGGCCTAGCTGGCTGGCCCCCAGCCTGGCCTAGCTGGCTGGCCCCCAGCCTTGCCTAGCTGGCTGTCCCCCAGCCTTGCCTAGCTGGCTGGCTGGCTGTACCCCCCCAGCCTGGCCTAGCTGGCTGGCTGGCTGTACCCCCCCCAGCCTGGCCTAGCTGGCTGGCTGGCTGTACCCCCCCAGCCTGGCCTAGCTGGCTGGCTGGCTGTACCCCCCCAACCTGGCTTAGCTGGCTGGCTGGCTGTCCCCCCTCCAGCCTGGCCTACCTGGCTGGCTGGCTGTCCCCCCCCTCCAGCCTGGCCTAGCTGGCTGGCTGGCTGTCCCCCCCCCCAGCCTGGCCTAGCTGGCTGGCTGGTTGTCCCCCCCCCCCAGCCTGGCCTAGCTGGTTGGCTGTCCCCCCCCAGCCTGGCCTAGCTGGCTGGCTGGCTGTCCCCCCCCCAGCCTGGCCTAGCTGGCTGGCTGGCTGGCTGGCTGGCTGTCCCCCCCCTCCCCAGCCTGGCCTAGCTGGCTGGCTGGCTGTCCCCTCCCCAGCCTGGCCTAGCTGGCTGGCTGGCTGTCCCCCCCCCAGCCTGGCCTAGCTGGCTGGCTGGCTGTCCCCCGCCCAGCCTGGCCTAGCTGGCTGGCTGGCTGTCCCCCCCAGCCTTGCCTAGCTGGCTGGCTGGCTGTCCCCCCCAGCCTTGCCTAGCTGGCTGGTTGTTCCCCCCAGCCTGGCTGGATGCCCCCGCCCAGCCTGGCCTAGCTGGCTGGCTGGCTGTCCCCCCCAGCCTGGCCTAGCTGGCTGGTTGTTCCCCCCAGCCTGGCTGGATGCCCCCCCCCCCAGCCTGGCTGGATGCCCCCCCAGCCTGGCCTAGCTGGCTGGATGCCCCCCCCAAGCCTGGCCTAGCTGGCTGGATGCCCCCCCCCCAGCCTGGCCTAGCTGGCTGGATGCCCCCCCCCCTAGCCTGGCCTAGCTGGCTGGCTGGCTGTCCCCCCCCCCCAGCCTGGCCTAGCTGGCTGGCTGGCTGTCCCCCCCAGCCTTGCCTAGCTGGCTGGTTGTTCCCCCCAGCCTGGCTGGATGCCCCCCCCCAGCCTGGCCTAGCTGGCTGGATGCCCCCCCAGCCTGGCCTAGCTGGCTGGATGCCCCCCCCCAGCCTGGCCTAGCTGGCTGGATGCCCCCCCCAGCCTGGCCTAGCTGGCTGGATGCCCCCCCCCAGCCTGGCCTAGCTGGCTGGATGCCCCCCCCAGCCTGGCCTAGCTGGCTGGATGCCCCCCCCCCCAGCCTGGCCTAGCTGGCTGGCTGGCTGTCCCCCCCCCCCCAGCTTAGCCTAGCTGGCTGGCTGGCTGTCCCCCCCCCAGCCTGGCCTAGCTGGCTGGCTGCCCCCCCCCAGCCTGGCCTAGCTGGCTGGCTGTCCCCCCCCCCCAGCCTGGCCTAGCTGGCTGGCTGTCCCCCCCCCCAGCCTGGCCTAGCTGGCTGGCTGCCCCCCCCAGCCTGGCCTAGCTGGCTGGCTATCCCCCCCCCAGCCTGACCTAGCTGGCTGGCTGTCCCCCCAGCCTGGCCTAGCTGGCTGGCTGTCCCCCCCCCAGCCTGGCCTAGCTGGCTGGCTGTCCCCCCCCAGCCTGGCCTAGCTGGCTGGCTGTCCCCCCCCCAGCCTGGCCTAGCTGGCTGGCTGTCCCCCCCCCAGCCTGGCCTAGCTGGCTGGCTGTCCCCCCCCAGCCTGGCCTAGCTGTCTGGCTGTCCCCCCCAGCCTGGCTTAGCTGGCTGGTTGTCCCCCCAGCCTGGCCTAGCCAGCTGCTTGCCCCCCAGCCTGGCCTAGCCAGCTGCTGGCCCCCCAGCCTGGCCTAGCCAGCTGCTGGCCCCCCAGCCTGGCCTAGCCAGCTGCTTGCCCCCCAGCCTGGCCTAGCCAGCTGCTGGCCCCCCATCCTGGCCTAGCCAGCTGCTGGCCCCCCAGCCTGGCCTAGCCAGCTGCTGGCCCCCCAGCCTGGCCTAGCCAGCTGCTTGCCCGGCTTGCCCAACAGGATCGGCCAGCCTCGCGTAGAGCCACAGCTCTCCAGAATTTCGCGCGGGAGTCTTTAAGTGGTTGGTAAATGAATATGCGAGGCTGTCTTCAAGTGGAGCATTGATCCTTATTTGGTCAAGTGCCAGCAGCCAACGAGAGAGAGAGAGATATATATAGAGAGATAGATTGATAGAGATAGATAGAGATAGATAGATAGAGATAGATAGATAGAGATAGATAGATAGAGATAGATAGAGATAGATAGATATAGATAGATAGATAGATAGATAGATAGATAGATAGAGATAGATAGATAGAGATAGATAGATATAGAGATAGAGAGAGTGAGATAGATAGATATATATATATATATATATATATATATATATATATATATATATATATATATATATATATATATATATATATAATGTATATATATATATATATATGTATATATATATATATGTCGTACCTAGTAGCCAGAATGCACTTCTCGGCCTACTATGCAAGGCCCGATTTGCCTAATAAGCCAAGTTTTCCTGAATAAATATATTTTCTCTAATTTTTTTCTTATGAAATGATAAACCTACCCATTTCATTATGTATGAGGTCAATTTTTTTTATTGGAGTTAAAATTAACGTAGATATATGATCGAACCTAACCAACCCTACCTAACCTAACCTAACCTATCTTCATAGGTTAGGTTAGGTAGCGGAAAAAATTAGGTTAGGTTAGGTTGTCGAAAAAACATTAATTCATGAAAACTTGGCTTATTAGGCAAATCGGGCCTTGCATAGTAGGCTGATATATATATATATATATATATATATATATATATATATATATATATATATATAGAGAGAGAGAGAGAGAGAGAGAGAGAGAGAGAGAGAGAGAGAGAGAGAGAGAGAGAGAGAGAGAGAGAGAGAGATATGCCTCTTAAACGGTGTGAGGAGCCGCGGGTGCTTCAGGTGTCAGAAGCCGTTTAGGCAGTTGTCGTGATCCATGTAGCTGTCGCTGTTCTTTGACGCGTCAATCATGATAAATGCCCCGAGTTGCACTATCAATGCTCACCATCTTCCTCCCTCGGGGTTGACGGTCTGGTCAGCCAGACTGTTGGTGCGCGCTTCGGGCTGCACAATCTAGTTTGTTCGGGTATAAACCACCCCCCCCCTTTTGAAGGTGTTTACTATAAGGTCATATATAATTTTCCAAAATAAAGGTTGGGGAGGGGGGGGGGAGGGGGCATTTAATTTCATCACTCTGGACAATGACGAAGGTGTTCACACACATACTTTGTGGTGATTCCGAGGATCAGCGTTCCTGCGGCTCGGTCTCTGAATAGGCTTCTTATTCAGAGACCGGGAAAAAAACACTTATTAGTTTTAGGCCCCATCCGGATCAGTCAGGTTATCTTGAGGTTATCTTGAGATGATTTCGGGGCTTTTTAGTGTCCCCGCGGCCCGGTCCTCGACCAGGCCTCCACCCCCAGGAAGCAGCCCGTGACAGCTGACTAACTCCCAGGTACCTATTTACTGCTAGGTAACAGGGGCATTCAGGGTGAAAGAAACTTTGCCCATTTGTTTCTGCCTCGTGCGGGAATCGAACCCGCGCCACAGAATTACGAGTCCTGCGCGCTATCCACCAGGCTACGAGGCCCCTGTGGTTGTGGTTGTTCATGCAAGCTGCGAGCACAAAGAGTCTGACAGTCAACCAGTACCAGCTCCCTAGTTTTGAGACCTCTAGAGCGTCTAGAGAGGTCTAAGAGAGGAATGTTAATGCTGAAAAGAACTAAGAGATCAATCCGGGATATTCAAAAAAGCCTTGACATTGGGGATAGTTTGCACTATCCCGAATGTAAAGTTCATCCTGCCAAGTCTTATCTAGGCCAGGAGGCATGACACGACCCTGCCCCGCCTCCTGGGGCCAGATTCACGAAGCAGTTACGCAAGCACTTACGAACCTGAACATCTTTTCTTAATCTTTGACGGCTTTGTTTACAGTTATTAAACAGTTAATGAGCTCCGAAGCACCAGAAGGCTGTTTATAACAATAACAACAGTTGATTGGCAAGTTTCCATGCTTGTAAACTGTTTAATAAATGTAACCAAAGTTGTTAAAGATTGAGGAAAGATGTACACGTTCGTAAGTATTTGCGTAACTGCTTCGTGAATCCGGGTCCTAGCCTGGTGAGGCATTGTCTCAGTGTGCGCTATATTAGTACCATTCAGCCCAAATATTCCCTTACGTGTGTATTATGATGTACATCTCTCTCCTGCGACCCAGCAAATACAATTCGAGCGGCTTTGTGTCTCCGCTAAATGTAGCGACATATTGACTGGATGCCGGTTGTAAACATTATCTGCGCGCGCTCTCCACGTCGCCAGCGGCTCCAGCTTTGAATGGCGCTGTTGCTGCGCAGCACTAGTCCACCCTAGAGAGCACTAGTCCACCCTAGAGAGCACTAGTCCACCCTAGAGAGCACTAGTCCACCCTAGAGAGCACTAGTCCACCCTAGAGAGCACTAGTCCACCCTAGAGAGCACTAGCCCACCCTAGAGAGCACTAGTCCACCCTAGAGAGCACTAGCCCACCCTAGAGAGCACTAGTCCACCCTAGAGAGCACTAGTCCACCCTAGAGAGCACTAGTCCACCCTAGAGAGCACTAGTCCACCCTAGAGAGCACTAGCCCACCCTAGAGAGCACTAGTCCACCCTAGAGAGCACTAGCCCACCCTAGAGAGCACTAGTATCTTGAAGATTGCCATCATTAGTTTAGTGGCATCTCTTGTTTGACACCTCTTGTCTGGAAGTGCATATTTGGTTTGAGTGATACTCAGGGTCAGAGTATTTGTTAGTTTCTGCATTAGTTTCTGTGTGAATATTTATTTCACTTGAGAGTTTATGGTTATAAGAGGCCTTCAGTAATTCAATCACTGGACCTGGGCATCCTGAGCCGATTATGTGCCTCTGTAATCCTTAACACCACCGCCCACGGGATGGGTATGGGGTGCATAATGAAGAAAGAACTCAAATGGTGGACACGGTACTGGTGTGTGTACTGGGTCTCTACAGGACCAGGCCGGGGGTCTCTACAGGACCAGGCCGGGGGTCTCTACAGGACCAGGCCGGGGGTCTCTACAGGACCAGGCCGGGGGTCTCTACAGGACCAGGCCGGGGGTCTCTACAGGACCAGGCCGGGGGTCTCTACAGGACCAGGCCGGGGGTCTCTACAGGACCAGGCCGGGGGTCTCTACAGGACCAGGCCGGGGGTCTCTACAGGACCAGGCCGGGGGTCTCTACAGGACCAGGCCGGGGTCTCTACAGGACCAGGCCGGGGTCTCTACAGGACCACGTCGGGGTCTCTACAGGACCCCGCCGGGGTCTCTTCAGGACCACGCCGGGGTCTCTACAGGACCACGCCGGGGTTTCTACAGGACCACGCCGGGGTTTCTACAGGACCACGCCGGGGTCTCTACAGGACCACGCTGGGGGTCTCTACAGGACCACGCCGGGGTCTCTACAGGACCACGCCGGGGTCTCTACAGGACCACGCCGGGGTCTCTACAGGACCACGCCGGGGTCTCTACAGGACCACGCCGGGGTCTCTACAGGACCACGCCGGGGTCTCTACGGGACCACGCCGGGGTCTCTACGGGACCACGCCGGGGGTCTCTACGGGACCACGCCGGGGGTCTCTACGGGACCACGCCGGGGGTCTCTACGGGACCACGCCGGGGGTCTCTACGGGACCACGTCGGGGTTCTCTACGGGACCACGCCGGGGGTCTCTACGGGACCACGCCGGGGGTCTCTACGGGACCACGCCGGGGGTCTCTACGGGACCACGCCGGGGGTCTCTACGGGACCACGCCGGGGGTCTCTACGGGACCACGCCGGGGGTCTCTACGGGACCACGCCGGGGGTCTCTACGGGACCACGCCGGGGGTCTCTACGGGACCACGCCGGGGGTCTCTACGGGACCACGCCGGGGGTCTCTACGGGACCACGCCGGGGGTCTCTACGGGACCACGCCGGGGGTCTCTACGGGACCACGCCGGGGGTCTGTACGGGACCACGCCGGGGGTCTCTACAGGACCACGCCGGGGTTCTCTACAGGACCACGCCGGGGGTCTCTACAGGACCAGGCCGGGGGTCTCTACGGGACCACGTCGGGGGTCTCTACGGGACCACGCCGGGGGTCTCTACGGGACCACGCCGGGGGTCTCTACGGGACCACGCCGGGGGTCTCTACGGGACCACGCTGGGGGTCTGTACGGGACCACGCCGGGGGTCTCTACAGGACCACGCCGGGGTTCTCTACAGGACCACGCCGGGGGTCTGTACAGGACCACGCCGGGGGTCTCTACAGGACCACGCCGGGGGTCTCTACAGGACCACGCCGGGGGTCTCTACAGGACCACGCCGGGGGTCTCTACAGGACCACGCCGGGGGTCTCTACAGGACCACGCCGGGGGTCTGTACAGGACCACGCCGGGGGTCTCTACAGGACCACGCCGGGGGTCTGTACAGGACCACGCCGGGGGTCTCTACAGGACCAGGCCGGGGGTCTCTACAGGACCAGGCCGGGGGTCTCTACAGGACCAGGCCGGGGGTCTCTACAGGACCAGGCCGGGGGTCTCTACAGGACCAGGCCGGGGTCTCTACAGGACCAGGCCGGGGGTCTCTACAGGACCAGGCCGGGGGTCTCTACAGGACCAGGCCGGGGGTCTCTACAGGACCAGGCCGGGGGTCTACAGGACCAGGCCGGGGGTCTCTACAGGACCACGCCGGGGGTCTCTACAGGACCACGCTGGGGGTCTGTATAGGACCAGGCCGGGGGTCTCTACAGGACCACGCCGGGGGTCTCTACAGGACCACGCCGGGGGTCTCTACAGGACCACGCCGGGGGTCTCTACAGGACCACGCCGGGGGTCTCTACAGGACCACGCCGGGGGTCTCTACAGGACCACGCCGGGGGTCTCTACAGGACCACGCCGGGGGTCTCTACAGGACCACGCCGGGGGTCTCTACAGGACCAGTTTCATCCGATGACCTCGTGACCTTTCACTGATCAGATGTCTCCTTCGGTCGGTCAAGGTGTGGGGAGGGGGGTGTTGACGGTTGCTTAATAAATGATATTCCTGTCGATACTTGACTGCCTGACTTCTAGGCTGACATTTAAGCCTAACATGGTGGCCAACCCCCCCCCCCCCCCTCTCCCGGAGATGAGGGAGGTGAGGATGAGGTGTGAGGCAGAGGGGGGGGGGTAAGAATGAGGGGGGACATGGAGAGGTTATCTTGAGGTTATCTTGAGATGATGTCGGGGCTTTTTTAGTGTCCCCGCGGCCCGGTCCTCGACCAGGCCTCCACCCCCAGGAAGCAGCCCGTGACAGCTGACTAACACCCAGGTACCTGTTTTGCTGCTAGGTAACCGGGACATAGGGTGAAAGAAACTCTGCCCATTGTTTCTCGCCGGCGACTGGGATCGAGCCCGGGACCGCAGGATCACAAGTCCAGCGTGCTCTCCGCTCGGCCGACCGGCTCCATGGATAAGAGTGGATGATATTTGTGGAGACCAATTGGGTGCGAATATTGACAAAATTTGACGTTATTCTTACTCTTCTGGAAATATTCCTGGAGCAGGTTCTGGGAGTTGTTCTACTCTCCACTTGTGAGAGCTTGGTCCAACAGGCTGTTGTTGCTTGGAAGCGGCCCGCAGGCCCACATAGCCGCTGCATCCTTGTTGGTTCGGCATTTCTGGTAGGAATGTGTCTAATATGCTCTTCAATACATCTAGTTTCGTACCGGCCATGCGTCTCCGAGTGCCTATATTGGCCTGTCTGCCCCATAGGTCGCTGGATTGAATACCGTACAAATGGTACAATTTTTTTTAAGAACGGGTCTTCTGTGCGGAGCACAGAGGTACCCGCACCATAGACTTCTGCGCCTCCCTCCCCTAGGCCTCTTTTTTTTTTGGGGGGGGGGGAGTAAAGAGGAAGGAGAGGCATAGGTGAAGGGAAGTAGAGAAGTGGGAAATACAGTGAGAGGTATGAAAGCAGGCGGCGGGCTGTCCGCCTTGCTGACACCATGTGTGGGTGTTGGCAGCTAAGCTAAGCTGGCTCCCTCTTGTCAGGGAGCTGCGAGTGTATGAGAGGTTCTTCACATGTGTTTCACCATATATGGATGTCCATAGATGAATACTGTGTAGCATTCATATATACACACTCCGATGCTTCCACACATGCATCGTATTCTAGTTGTGGGCGCTGGTGGCTGTGTAGATAGCACGCTGGACACGTAATCCTGTGGCCCGGGTACTATTCCCGGCGCCGGCGAGAAACAAAAATGGGCAGTTTCTTTCATCATGATGCCCCTGTTACCTAGCAGTAAATAGGTACCTGGAGTTAAAAGCCAGTTAAAGTTACCGACCAGTTAAAGCCAGTTAGTTAAAAAGCTCTGTACCTCAGGGTACAGTCCATGCACCACTGCTGTTCCTTATTCTCATATCAGATATAGACAAAAATACAAGTCACAGCTTCGTATCATCCTTTGCAGATGACACAAAAATCAGCATGAAAATTACCTCTGCTGAAAACATTGAAAAACTACAAGCAGATATTAACAAAGTTTTCGACTGGGCAGCAGAAAATAACATGTTTAACAGTGATAAATTTCAGGTACTCAGGTACGGTAAAAATGAGAACTTTAAACATAATACAGGGTACAAAACACAATCAAATCTTCCCATACTAGGAAAACAGCATGTAAAGGATTTGGGAATAATGATGTCTGACGACCTAACGTTTAGGGAGCATAACCAAGCAAATATTGCGACGGTCAGAAAATGATAGGATGGATTACGAGAACTTTCAAATCCAGGGATCCCATCACAATGGTTGTACTCTTCAAGTCACTTGTGTTGTCCCGTCTCGAGTACTGCTCAGTACTCACTTCCCCCTTCAGAGCAGGAGAGATTGCTGAAATAGAGGGAATACAGAGAACATATACGGCACACATAGACGAGATAAAGCACCTAAATTATTGGGATCGTCTCAAAGCTCTCCAAATCTACTCACCAGAAAAGAGATGAGAGAGATACCAAATAATATAAACATGGAAAATACTGGAGGGCCAGGTCCCAAATCTACACAGTAAAATAACAACATACTGGAGTGAACGATATGGAAGAAAATGTAGAATAGAACCAGTGAAGAGCAGAGGTGCCATAGGCACAATCAGAGAACACTGTATAAACATCAGAGGTCCGCGGTTGTTCAACGTCCTCCCAGCGAGCATAAGAAATATTGCCGGAACAACAGTGGACATCTTCAAGAGAAAACTGGACTGTTTTCTAAAAGAAGTTCCGAACCAACCGGGCTGTGGTGGATATGTGGGCCTGCGGGCCGCGTCAACCAGGCTGTTGGACGCGGCTGCTCGCTGTCTGACTTGTGAATCACAGCCTGGTTGATCAGGCAAGGACTGGCGTCGCGCGCGGAGGGGGTTGGGCATCTATATCTGCTTTGTCACTCTTGCTGTCTTACGTGGAGACCTGGATCTTAACTGTCTGTGTAGAGTGTTTATCTTCTGTGTTACCAGTCATCTGTGCCCGCCTCGTGGTGGCGGGTCAGGGCCGCTTTCCTCCCAAGAACTGGTGCAGAGAGCGGTCTATAGAGAGGTCTATACAGTAGGCCTATATGCTCTACTCTCAACCCCTCTCTCCCCCTCCCATACTCCACCTCAACCACAAGTCCGTGGGCCTCCTCCAACACCACCACCATCAGCCCTTATCAACAGTACCAGCTGTTAATAAAACCGCGGCAGCAGCAGCAGCAGCAGCAGCAGCACGGGCGGTGGTTGAACAGCAGGAGGCAGAGAGAGAGAGAGAGAGAGAGAGAGAGAGAGAGAGAGAGAGAGAGAGAGAGAGGGAGAGGGAGAGGGGGGGGGGGGAGGGAGGGGGTAAGGGGGGGCAGCCGCTCGATTCCTTGGGCAACTTACGAGGGAAGTTTGGGTAAAGTTATGCCCCAAGTTTAAGGGATATTGCCCTTATTTCTCGGCCCGCACAACGGATTATCAGACCAAACAATAATAAGAGCCGCACTCACTCACTTGAGACTCACCACCTTCCCACTCACTCAACACTCACGCCACTTACACACTCACTCACTCACTCTCTCACTCTTACTCTCTCACTCACTCACTCATTCACTCTCTCACTAAACAGTGATGTGGCGGAGGCTGACTCCATACACAGTTTGAAATGTAGATATGATAGAGCCCAGTAGGCTCAGGAACCTGTACACCTGTTGACTGACTGTTGATAACAATAGTTGATTGACAGACTGGTTGGATAACAATAACACTTCAAACATGAGATGCCATATCAATGATGATAATTTTTAAGACGCTAGTGCTCTCTAGGGTGGAATATGGTGTCACAGTAACAGTCTAATTCAAAGCTGGAGAAATTGCCGACCTGGAGTGCATGCAAAAAAAATATTTTACTGCTAGACTCCACTCAATAAAATTATTAGGACCACTTAAATGCTTTTAATTTGTATTTTCAAGAGCATAGGCGAGATAGATACATAATAATTTACACGTGGAAAATAGTAGAGGGGCTATTACAGAAACATGAGCACATGAGACCAGAAGGCATGGCAGGATGTGCAGAATACCCCCGTTGAAGAGCAGAGGTGCAACAGGTACTCTGAGAGAGAACTATCAACATCAGAGGCCCGAGACTGTTCAACACGCTTCCACTACACATAACTGGCCGACCCCTCACAGTGTTCAAGAGAGAACTTGACAAATACCTCCAAAGGATACCTGATCAACCAGGCTTTGACTTATACGTCAGGCTACGAGCAGCCGCGTCCAACAGCCTGGTTGACCAGTTCGCCAGATACCCCTGAAGGATAACAACATCTCAAGTCTTAACAAGATAAATACCACACCAGGTGACGAGGACGAATAAGAGCGCCTTACAACACTAACAGTCGAGGAGATCAATGTGCCCACATAACTAACTACCTGTTGATGCTGCTCGCCCGCCTTCTCACTCTCTCTCAAGACACACACACACGACTCCAAGTAACTACAAATGACTGGGGCGGAGTGACGAGCTGAGAGAGAGACCTCCCGCCAGCACCTTCACCGCCTCGGGTCCCCCACGCCTCTCGGATACCAGTGTGGCCTCAATGTTTGCTACTTACCAGGGAAGGTTATGTTGAGAGATTAGTGGCGTACCGCCCTGCCAGTGGAGGCTGGTGCATGCTCAGACGGGTGTGGGGGCTAGGTGTGTGGGGGCTAGGTGTGTGGGGGCTAGGTGTGTGGGGGCTAGGTGTGTGGGGGCTAGGTGTGTGGGGGCTAGGTGTGTGGGGGCTGGGTGTGTGGGGGCTGGGTGTGTGGGGGCTAGGTGTGTGGGGGCTAGGTGTGTGGGGGCTAGGTGTGTGGGGGCTAGGTGTGTGGGGGCTAGGTGTGTGGGGGCTAGGTGTGTGGGGGCTGGGTGTGTGGGGGCTAGGTGTGTGGGGGCTAGGTGTGTGGGGGCTAGGTGTGTGGGGGCTAGGTGTGGGGAAGGTCGGGAGGAACGCCTTAGTGCGTGTTGGAGAGGTACACAATGACCTCTCTGGTAATTGGGGTACATTTGAGACCTTTGTGGTACACAGTGACAGTCTCGTTGGTCCACGACTATGTAAGGCTGTTGTCGCCTGGATGACATTATTGCAATAAGGTTAGACATTTGCTGCTAATAAGGTTTTGTTTTTTGTATACATATATATATATATATATATATATATATATATACCCTGTTCATATAGTCTACCCTCTCCACCACCACCCACTCCACCCACTCCACCCACCACCACCCACACCTTAAGCTTCCTCTCAGAATTCTCCACCTCCACCCCCCCACCTCCACTCCCCCTACCTCCACTCCCCCCACCTCCACTCCCCCCCCCCCCCACCTCCTTCCCTTCCTCCTATAATTCTCTCCAAAACTCTCTGCTTCCCCCCCCCCCACCCACCTCTTCCAAAGGCCTTCCTCCACCCCC